AGGGAGGCCGCTCATAAATACTCACACTGATCAGCCAGTGCGAGTGCACTAGGGAGAACAGCAGGGGAAGAGGACAGGCCTTAGGGGCTTTGACGGGGGGACAGAAAGGAGAGGGGGGGTGCATGTCTCTCGCTGGCAGAGACACGTGCAGACTTCTTTGGCATGTACCTTTGCTTGGTAAAAAGCCCTATTATGTTTCTTTTCTCTATCGCTCTCTTCCTTTCCTTCCACTGGTCCTATGAAAGATTTTTCTTTCATGGATAAACCAAGAACCTGGATTTGCCATCTGTTAAGAAAATTGGCTTGCCAGCCAAGAGATAAGGGAATGCTGGGTGGGGCACTAGCCGAGACCCCAAGTGCAAGAGGCAAGTGACCACTGGGACTATTTTGCTCCCGTGTCTCTGCTGCTAGTAAGTCTCTCTCGGGGGGCCCCCAGTGTAAATTATGAGAAAAAACAATGTATTCTCTTTTACTCTCTCCCTCTTCCCTGTTTTTTTCCTCTTTCAAGTGACTGCTGGAAAGCATGGTTAGGATTTGGCTCTCTCAGGGCCAGTGGTCGCCATGGGTTGCCACGTGCTGCAGGAGCTTGGCTGGCTCCTCTCCGGCCCACTTCTGCACATCTGGCTCCATCCGCAGTGGAGGCTGGGTTGTGGTTGTGCCATGGGGCCTTTGCTTTGACGTTAGGAAGCTTTTGTTCTGTTTGTTTAACTTATTTCTGAGCCTAATGAACCTGAGGCAGTTACTTTACAACTCTCTAGTCATGTTTGAATGCATTTTTCTTTTAGGCCCCCGTTTCTCTCTGGATTTTTGCTTCTTCCCAAAGAAACCATTTAGACAATTGAACCCCTTTTTCCTTGAGCCTCTATGTGCTTCTCTTGTTAATGTTTTGCAAAAGACTCTGAGGCCTCATAAGAAATGCAGCTGTGGCACGCTGCCTGACCTTTTTGGATCTGCTGCCTTCCTCTCAGAACCCCAAGAGTCAATGGCCTTGGCCCTGTTTGTTCATTGGCTCAGCCCTTAGCTCAGTAACCCAGTTAAGGAAACCTATGGTGGAGTTCTATGATTGTATTTGATCTTGGCATCCACTTCTTTTTAAAAACCCTTCCTGTGTATCTTCTGACACACAGACTCCTTAAAAAGCCCTACATTCTTTATCTGTGCTTCGTAATGTAAATTTGCTACCTTGGTTTCTCTGAGAACTCAGTGTGGCCTTCTGTCATGTGGGGCAGATAATCCTTAACTTGCTTCATTTACAGACATATGATTTAAATCCAACTGTCCTTTTTGTGAGTTTTATATTTTATTTGTCTCATTATTAACACTTTGAACAAAACCTATAAGATCTTTGTTTCTATGTTTTTTTATGTCTGCATATATAACATGTGAGCTGTCTGTTATGTCTACATATATGTCTATACATGTGTTTGTGTGTTGTCTACATGGTACCAAATTTTGGCTTATAAATAATGTGTGCTGATTAATTGGGTAAATGTAAATGCTTTCAAATTCATGTGACTTTAGTAATTTAAATTGTTGATAAAATAGATGTGTTTCCAAAATTTGATTTAAACCTTTTTACCTAGGTTTATCTTTTGGCCAGCACAAATTTATACTGTCTCTGATGTTTTACGGTCATAAAAATGTATCATAAGAGGCCTTTTGGAGGAGGTAATATTTTAGGGGGAAAAAAGAATAATTAAAAGGAACCAGTTATGACCAGAATAGAGCTTTCTTGGCAGAGACAATACTCAGTACAAAGGTAGTGAGGAGGAACAAGGTTGGTCTGTTCCAGGAACAAAAATCAAACCAGGGCAGTGAGTGCAAAGTTAGTACCAGGGGAGCAGGCAATCAATAAGGCCAAAGAAGTAAGGACAAGCCTGGCCATGCAGGGCATTTTAAGCCACGGTAAGAAGCTCAGATTTAGATTTTATTCCAGATGCAGGGGACGATCACTAGAAAAGACTTTCAGCACAGGAAATCAGAGATGATAATGTGATCTGGATATGGCTTATAAAAGACTATGCTGGCTGCAGGTGGAGAATGGGCTGTAGTACAACAAGAATAGAGGCAGAGAGTCCAGTTAGGAGGCCATTTGTAGTATCTAAGCAGGAGGTGATGTGGCCTGATGCAAGGTGGTAGAAGTGGAGATAAATCAGTAATTGCTGATTTACTGGACATGGAAAGAGGAAAAGAGGGGAATTGAGAGTGCCAGTTAAACATTTGGCCTGAGCAACCATGGGCCTGTTGGTCATTACAAAATAGAGGACAAGATAGACATGATTCTTGCCTTCATGGAGTTTAAAATTTATAGTTATTTAATAAATATGACTCAGTTAATAGGCTAATAAAATTAAGTTATATTTAAATTTCATGGCTTTTAATGTAAGAAAGTCCAGATGGGTTGAAATGTTCAATTTTATAAATAAATAATATATCAATTTTAAAAAGTTAGAAGAAAAAAATATATACTCTAAGGATGGGAAAGCTTTTTCATAAAACTGAGGTGTAACTTATAAAGAAAATAGTTGATTTGACTATTTAGATTTTTAAAACTTTATATGTCAAAAATACTATGAACAAGACTAAAAGGTAAACAACCCTGGAAATATAGTCACAGCATATATGATGAAGAGTTGATATGCTAAATATATAAAGGGATTTTATAAATCAATAAAAAAAGATGAGCAAAGAGTACAATAAACAAAAAAGTAAAACTGCAAGGTAAGTCTAAAGAAAGTGTTCAATCTTACAAGTAACCAGTAATATATATATTTAAAATATGATACGAATTTTTCTACCATTCAAGTTGGTAAATGGTTAAAAGAAATATAGTAACCCATGTTAGTTGCACTGGGAGTATAAAATTGACAAGGTTTTTTTTTTAGAAGAGAAATTCTTAAAAATGCACATTCCCTGTCATCTAGCAACTTCAGTTTTTGAAATATATCTAAAAGCCATAACCATGGTTGTGTGCAGTTATAAACATTAACTGCAGTGTTGTTTACAGCAATATAATTTCTCATGATAAAAAAAAGCTGATTAAATAATGGTATATCCATATGGTGCAATACAGTGCCGCTAGTTAAAATCACATTGCAAAAAAAAAAAAAAAAAAAAAAAAACTGATATATGGTAAATAGTTCATAATATGTTTTATGTGATACGAGCAGGTTACAAAACAACAAACCAAATGTAATAGCATTTTGGTAAATATCCATAAAAGAAATACGTCAATAAGGCATTCACCAAATTGTTTATAATAATTTGAGAGATGAAATTATAGGTGATTTTTTCTCTATATCTCTGTGTTTTTCAAATTTTCCGCACCACACGTGCAATTATAAACTTTTTATATTACAAAATAAAAAATATGCACTTAGAAAACGAGAAAGCACTCAAAAGGAGTCACTGAACCTCTCTAACTAAAGAAAGTCTGTTGGAAAGCAGTAATCAGAATAAAGGCTTCCTTTGCAGATAAAGAATGCAAAACAATGTTGCCTTGACACTGAAAGTACGCAAATGATTCCTTTAGGGAACAGACAATGGGGGTGGAGCATGGGTTTGAGTAAGCCGATCTGGAACCTAGTTGCTATAAACACTGCAGGTCCTGTTAGTCATCATTCAAAGGTCAGTCCATACCAGCAGCCACACATGAGGGGGTTGTGGAGCCAACATGGTGATCAAACTAATATCCACAAAGAATACCACACCACACCTGTCCTTACATACAATTGTAAAACGTTTGCAATCCAATAAGTCCATTTGCCCAAAGAAAGGTAAACCTGACAGCTTCTGGTCTCCACACAACAGATTAAATAGATAAACTGACCTTTTGAACATAAAGAATGTTGCTGAAAATACTATATCTATCAAACTTGTAACCTGGAAATCTAGAATGATGATCAGTTATTATGTCAATTTGGAATTTGAACATAAAGGACACCAGAAATCAATTCTGCCTGTTGACCTCATTGTAGTGACCATATTGAATTCGTTTTGAAGGCTCTGAAGTTTATACTTGTAAAATAACCTAATACTTTTAAAAACTTAACAACAGTTGCTTTACATAGGAAACAGGTTAAATACCAATGATAATAAAAGGTGGTGTGTGTGTGTGTGTGTGTGTGTGTGTGTGTGTAAATAAATTTTGTATTTCTACAGCATCTGTCATCTGACAGTCTCTTAAGTCTTTCTAGGTGCCCTTTTGAAAGTACAGGTATTGAGGAAAAGCAAATTTCCCTAACCCAGTTAAGCAGATAATAACTAAGTTACTATTTTCTTCCTCTGTTGTACTTTATTGCAATCGTTTTCAAACTTTGATGTGTACCAGATTCTTCTGTGGAGCTTATAAAAAATAAAAGTGCCCAAAGTGTACTCAAGACCTACTAAATCAGAGTCTCACAGGTGGTGCGGCCCAGGGGCATGCGCCTTTAGCAAGCTACATGGGTGGTTCTCATGCACCCTCAGGTGAGGAAAGCTGCTCTGGGTGAAAAGGTGCTGGCGGGGAAATGGAAGTGGCAAAAGAACAAGGAAAAGAAAATTAAGAAACGTCAAATCGAAAGAGAAATTTTTTAAATGAAAGACGTGAATAATGACTCTCAGTCCTAGTTGATGTCATTTCTCATAGACCATTTCTCTACAGCCCAGATGGATTAGAGAACAGAAAATACAGTCAGTCAGATTCCCCGGTTCAAGCGTTAACCAGAACGTCACTCCTCTTTTCCAGCAGTGTGGCAGGGAGCAGAGGAGCGTCCCCACCAGCTGCTCCCGAGAAAGGGAAACACTCCCAACATGCACTGAGGCGCGGGGAGCGGCTGGGTTTGTCACACTTGGCTGCGGGGCGGAGAGGAGGACGGTAATCATTAACAGCTGCCGGCTCCCAGCGGATGGCCCGGCCCGCGGGCTCAGCGCCGCCCCTCCGCCCGCCCCGGACCTGCCTGCAGGTGAGGGACTCGCGAGGCCCCAGGACAGGGAGAAACCGAGAGCGCCACCTTGTCCGCACCAGAGTTCCTGACCCAGCCCAGGAGCAAACTCTCCGGATCAAGTTCAGCCCGACAGCACAGGCGAAAAGGCTCCTCCTGCTCCCAGAGTGAAGAGCAGGTGAAAAATGGGGGTAGGAGAGGAAGCCCTCTATCCACCCTCCCGAGTCAGGTTCAGGGCAAGTTATTAGAAAGCAGAATCCGTAGGCAGCAAAGTTGGACGTATGCAGGTATCAGAGCAACCTGAACCCAGACATTACTTTTCTTTTTGACTTTCTTAGAATAATACTCTTTCCTGACCCAGGTAAGCTTGTGGGGCAAGTGGGGTGGG